GCCATCATGATTTCCGGGTTCCGGTAAAGGTTCCGGCGCTTAAGATTCCCTTTGCCATCATGATTGGCTGTGACCTGCTGGTTCTGGTCCACAGGTTCCGGCGCTAAAGAGACCCTTTGCCATCATGATTTCTTGGGTTCCGGTAAAGTTTCCGGCGGTGAAGAGACCCTTTGCTATCATGATTTCCTGGGTTCCGGTAAAGGTTTCTGCGCTTAAGAGATCCTTTGTCATGATGATTGCCTGTGATTTGCTGGTTCCGGTCCACAGGTTCCGGCGGTAAAGAGACCCTTTGCCATCATGATTTCTTGGGTTCCGGTATAGATTCCGGTAAAGGTTCTGGTGAAGATTCTGGCGCTAAAGAGACCCTTTGCCATCATGATTTCCTGGTTCCGGTAGAGGATCCGGCTCTTAAGAGATCCTTTGCCACGTGATTTGCTGTGATTTGCTGGTTCCGGTCCCGGTCTACTGGTTCGGTGCTTAAGAGACCCTTTGCCATCATGATTTCCTAGGTTCCGGTAAAGGTTCCAGCGCTAAAGAGACCCTTTGCAATCATCATTTCTTGGGTGCCCGCAAAGGTTCCGGCGGTAAAGAGACCCTTTGCCATCATGATTTCCTAGTTCCGGTAAAGGTTCCGGCGCTTAAGAGACCCTTTGCCATCATGATTGGCTGTGATTTGCTGGTTTTGGTCCACAGGTTCCGGCGCTAAAGAGACCCTTTGCCATCATGAGTTCTTGGGTTCCGGTACAGGTTCCGGCGGTGAAGAGACCCTTTGCCATCATGACTTCCCGGTTCTGGTCCACAGGTTCCGGCGCTTAAGAGACCCTTTGCCATCATGATTGGCTGTGACTTGCTGGTTCCGGTCCACAGGTTCCGGCGCTAAAGAGACCCTTTGCCATCATGAGTTCTTGGGTTCCGGTACAGGTTGCGGCGGTGAAGAGACCCTTTGCCATCATGACTTCCTGGTTCTGGTAAAGGTTCCGGCGCTTAAGAGACCCTTTGCCATCATGATTGGCTGTGACTTGCTGGTTCCGGTCCACAGGTTCCGGCCCTAAAGAGACCCTTTGCCATCATGACTTCTTGGGTTCCGGTACAGGTTCCGGCGGTGAAGAAACCCTTTGCTATAATGATTTCCTGGTTCCGGTAAAGGTTTCGGCGCTAAACAGATTTTTTGCCATCATGATTTCCTGGGTTCTGGTAAAGGGTCCGGCACTTAAGAGACCCTTTGCCATCATGATTTCCGCGGTTCCGGTCCACAGGTTCCGCCGCTAAAGAAAGCTGGTTTCCGCTTTACTGGTTCCGGCGCTTAAGAGACCCTCTGCCATCATTATTTGCTGCGATTTGCTGGTTCCGGTCTGCTGGTTCCGGCGCTTAGGGAGGCCCTTCGCCATCATGTTTTCTTGGGTTCCAGGAAAGGTTCCGGCGCTAAAAAGACGCTTTGCCATCATGATTTGTTGGCTTCTGGTAAAGGTTCCGGCGCTTAAGAGACCCTTTGCCACCACAAGACCACCAGCTCCTGAACCAGCCAACTGCCAGCATCTTGGACCTACTAACACGTCACTTCCCACGCTGGAAAACCAATCAATATTGTTGTACAGATCCTTCCCGACATGCAGAACAACCACATGCGGACAGTGGTTTTGTCCTACGACTTGAAAGCGTTCCTCGGGGGCATCCTTTCTTCACCCATAACGTGGTCATGGTGGCAAGTACGCAGCGGCTGATGTTTTATCATGGTAACAACCACAGCGCGATCTCGGCAAAGAAGGAAAACAATATCGCACACCGATGAATTCCATGAAGGCCTTTTGCAAACAAAGACGTATTCCTACAGAGCATCATTTGCAGACAGAAGCCTTTACACACAGAAGCTCTTACACAGGGAAGCCTTTACACGCAGAAGCTTATACACAGGGACGCTTTTACACACAGACGTTTTTCCACACACACGCTTTTGCACACAGAAGTGTTCACACATAGAAGCCTTTACACACATAAGCTTTTAGACAGACCAGCTTTTACACAGAAGCCTTTTAGGCACAAACGATTTTACCCACAACAGCTTTTACACACAGAAGCCTTTACACACAGAAGCTTTTACACAGAGCAATATAGGGCAGCCTTGCACACAGAAGCTTTTACACACGGACGCTTTTACACACATACGTTTTTACGCACAGAAGCTTTTACACAGGAAAGCCTTTATACAGAGCAGTCTTTACATGCAGAAGCTTTTACACAAAGCAGCTTTTTCACAGGGAAACCTTTATGCAGAGCAGCTTTTACACACAAAGCTTTTACACAGAGAAGCCTTTACACACAGAAGCTTCTACACAGGTCAGCTTTTACACAGAGGCGTTTTCCACATACACACAGACACTTTTACACACAGAAGCATTTACACAGAGAAGCCTTTGCACACATGAGCTTTAAGACACAAACAAACGCTTTTACACAAAGCAGCTTTGACACACAGAAGCTTTTATTTACACAGGGAAGCCTTTCCGCAGAGCAGCTTTTACACCCAGGAGCATGTCAGCAGACAGCGTTTACACCGAGCAGCTTTGATGCACAGATGCTTCTAGGCACAAACGCTTTTACACACAGACGCTGATCCACACAGAAGCTTTTACACAGGGAAGCCTTTACACAGAGCAGCTTTTACACACAGGGGTATTTGAACACAGAGAAGCCTCTACACACAGAAGCTTTTAGACAACCGAGCTTTTACAAAGAAGCCTGACGCTTTTACACAGAGAAGCTTTTACACACAGACGCTTTTACACAGAGCAGCCTTCACACACAGAAGCCCCCACACACAGAAGCTTTTACACAGAGCAGCTTTACACACAGAAGCTTTTACACACGGAGGCTTTTACACACACACAGACGCTTTTGCAAACAAAAGCATTTACGTAGAGAAGCCTTTAGACACAGAAACTTTTACACAGAAGCCTTTTACACACAAAGACGTATTATTACAGAGCAGCTTGTGCAGACAGAAGCCTTTAAACGCAGAAGCTTTTACACAGGGAAGCCTTTACACAGAGCAGCTTTTACACACGGGGGCATTTACACAGAGAAGCCTTTGCACACATAAGCTTTAAGACACAAACGCTTTTACACAGAGCAGCTTTATACACAGAAGCTTTTACACAAGGACGGTTTAACACACAGAAGCTCTTACACAGGGAAGCTCCGATACAAAGCAGCTTTTGCACATAGAAGTATTTACACAGAGAAGCCTTGACACACAGCAGAATTTACACACAGACGCTTTAAACACAGACGCTTTTGCACAGGAAAGCTTTTACACACAAAGCAGCTTCTACACAGGGAAGCTATTACACAGAGATACACCGAAGTCTTTACACAGAGAAGCCTTTACACGCAGAAGCTTGTACACAAAGAAGCTTTTACACACAGAAGCTTATACACAGGGAAGCCTTTACGCAGAGCAGCTTTTACACACAGAAGCTTATACACAGGGAAGCCTTTACGCAGAGCAGCTCTTACACACAGAAGAATTTTCACAGAGAAGCCTTTACACACAGAAGCTTTTGCACAGGGCAGCTTTTACACAGAGGTCTTTTACACGCAGACGCTTTTACACAGAGCAGCACAGAGGAGCCTTTACACAGAGCAGCTTTTCCACACAGGCGCTTTGTACACAAAGCAGCTTTTACACACAAAAGCTTTATATAGGGAAGCCTTCATGCAGAGCAGTCTTTGCACACAGGGGCATGTCAAGAGAAAGCCTTTACACAGAGCAGCTTTACACACGGTTCAGACTGGTTCAGTCACGGTTCAGACTCGTCGAGACGCATTCAGACTGGTTGAGACAGGGTTCAGACTGTTGAGATACGGTTCAGACTGGCTCAGACTGGTTCAGACAAGGTTCAGGCTGGCTCAGACACGGCTGGCAAGCGCCCAAAAACCTCCATGGAAGGCCTCTCTCGGGCCGCAGCCACACAACCCAAAGCGTCGCCCTGCCACGCAAAACAGGCGCGGCAACCCGACCCAAGCGGCACCTCCGCAGCCAGACAGTCTGAAGTGTCGCGCCTGCCACGCAAAACAGCCGCGGCGGCCCAAGCGGCACCTCCGCAGCCAGACAGTCTGAAGTGTCGCGCCTGCCATGCAAAACACTTCTGCAACCAGACAGTCTAAAGTCTCGCGCCTGCCACGCAAAGCAGCCCGCCAAGCTTGAGAGATAGAAGTAAATACAGATGAATGTGATAAAGACAAGTTGAGAAAGAAGTGATGATTGACATTGCCACACGAAGTTGATAGAGAGAAGTTGATTGATAGAGAATCTGATAGAGACAAGCTGAGAGAGAGAGAGAGAGAGACACAAGTTGATTGACACACACACAGAGGGACGGAGGGATAGATAGATAGATAGAAAGATAGATAGATAGATAGAAAGATAGATAGATAGGTAGGTAGATAGATAGACAAACAGATAGATGGATAGATAGATAGATAGATGGATAGATAAATAGACAGACAGATAGATAGATAGAGAGAGAAAGATATATATACATACGCACGCGTAGACATATTCATACACAGATATAAATACAATCGTATATATGTATTCATACATCTATGCTTAGATGTGGGCAGACATTCATGCAAATATGTATATATATATATATAAATAGAATATATATATAAATAGAATATATATATAAATAGATAATATATATATATAAATATTTAGTTATTTAAATTGTAAAACTTGAAATGTGGCACATAGACTAATAGTATTATACTGTTACTCGCTTTGCAGGAAACCATTTCATCATCTCCCACCTAGAAAAAATCACAAACCTGTGGCGAAATTCACCGCGCTCCTCTCCTCAGCATTGCTTGTTGAAAACAGTGAAACATCTGTTTTTGCCGCCAGTGTGAAGGAGGGTATGCCACATACATCTTCGAACCCATGCCAACAGCTGCTGAAGGAAAGCTATGCACTTACTGAGAGAAAGTTGCACGTTGATGTACACTACATAGATGTTTCACACTGTTAAAGGATAGGTGCAAGCGTAAACTTGCAATGCTCCAGTTGGGCCACGCTGAGATTGGCTTTGGTCTCAAACCGGCCAAGACTTTGCCTGTCTTGCATCAGTCAAGACTTTGCCTGCCTTGAATCGACCAAGACCTTGCGCAACTTCGTCAATGTGCTTCCTCCAACGAACGTCCCACAAGGGTTGGCTCCAAGATATAATCAGGCTCCTGTCAATGTGCAACACGCGGTACACCGGATTGACAAAATCACATCCCAAGAGGGAAGCTCAAAATGGCCGTAAGACTCATCAAGCTGCAGTGCTGCAAGTTGAAACTTGCCATGCAAACTAAATGTCCTGGGCCGGAAATGAAATGTCCGCCGTCATGTGGTCTTGCGTCCGATCCCCTGCAAAGCACAATTTATAAATCCAAGCCATTTCCAAATAAAGCAGCAATTGGTAGAACCAGCCATGGGGTCATGGATCCCCTTTTGACCTTGAAACCAACCGCCTCTGACGTCGGCCTTGAGCCCGGCTCGAAAACATCCGCTTGCCCACGCTCTTTGGTTGAGCGCTTGTGCTGTTGCTATTTGGTTTGACCACCTCTTTGTGTATTTGGTGGGGAACTTCGAGCTGTGGCTACCGCATTGGTAGCGGAGCGCGTTCCGATCTCGGGCGGCTCCTTGGACTTCACCTTCCTCGCTGTCGCCGAGCTCTGCGGTGCCTTCACCTTCAACCACGGCGTGTCAGGATAGGAGTCGCTGCCGGGATCCTTCGCCGGCTGGTGGGCAGAGCTCTACGACCTGGACTTCCCCTTCGGTTCCTGCTGCCTGATCGAGCTCTACTTCCGGGACTTTACCTCCAGCGACCCCTACTGCATCCACTAGAACTTTGACCCCGCTTCAACGATTGCTCACTGTGGATTGCGACTTGCTCATCGTCCTGCTGGAAACAAGGACAAGGGCAAAACAGTTGTACCAGGTTAGCAGGTTGGTCAGCGACTTGCCTGCGCTTGGTGACAACCCTACAAGGGAGGAGATTGGATTGAACGCCTGGAAGAAGTTGATCGCGGATTCTCCAGCACTGGGTCCTCGACTTCTTTTCACCTTAGAAGATCTTGGATTGACCGTTGCTGCATGGGGGGTGAACCTGCGGAACACTTTTGCCTTTGGGGTGGGTTCTACTTGATTGAGTCCAACTTGACACTCTTTTTCCTCGAGCTCTACTTTGGTAAGTTCGTCTTTTTGCTGATGTCTTAGACGTTTTACAGCTCAAGGCCATTTTGGCAGAGCCCTTTTACCAGTTTTTTCTTGCACTCGCTCTACAACAGGAGCAATGGAGAATTGTCAAGCAGCAGATACAGTTCCTGGATGGGACGGAGATCCAAGAGGATGGGGAAGGTATCAAAGAGAAGTGAGTTGGTTTGTGAGCGGGACGAAGCTATCTATGTGAAAGTATTTGGCACCTCGTCTCATTGCCAAGCTCACTGGGCCAGCGAGGCCTTGCGATGGGATGGTCTCAACAAGACTTTCAAGGTGTTGATGCCGTCAACATCCGTCAGCCAATACCTGAAGAAGTTGAGCAAATCACGGCTGGTGAGACGCAAGCTGCCCAACAGTGCAGCTGTGATGCAACAGTACTTTGGATTTCGCCGTGAACACATGGAAACCATACTTCACTTCCTGGTGAGGGAGAGTCTCCACTTTGAGGAGTTTGTGGAGGCACTTCACTTGCTGAAACAGGAAAAGGATGGTGCAATGGATGAAGTCTTCATCCCACACTTGGATGAGGAAGAGAGCGATGATGATGACGATGGTGAGACGCAGAGTCCAACTCCTAAGAAGAAGTCGGACTACAAGCCAGTTCCTGCAGAAGATCCTGATGATCCTCAACCTGCTCCTGCGGCTGCTGGTGGTGTTCGACCTACATCGTCTACTTCGCCTACTTCGAGCATGGACTCCTTCATCCTGGAGCAACTACGTGGATGGCGACTTCTTATGGCTGCTGCTCTTTCACCCGAAGAGTGGCGATCGATCCTGGCTTCGACTGGCAATCGCTTGGACTATGTCTCCGTGATATCCGCCTTGGAGATCCTCTATGACGAGCACTTCAGTCGAGGTCGTGGTCAACAAGGTTTTGGAGGAGCTCATCAACCTTCCACCCACTACTTCAACATGGCGGAGAACGAGGCCTATGATGATGATTCCTGGTCTTCATGGTGGATGATGCCTGTCCATGGGGAGGAAGAGAACATGGAGGACTACGGCAGTGCTCCACCTGCTGCTGCCGAACAACCTGCTGAAGAAGGTGGGGCCATGATGGCTGATGACTGATGCTTCAAAACTCTCATGGTCTCAGGTCCAACGAGCCACTCAGCTCATGAAGAAGGATAGGGGATTTGGAGCTGCTTCAGCCTCAGGCTCTGGTGCTGCTGGACAACAAGGCTGCTTCATGTGGCAGACATCAACATTTGGCACGCCAGTGCCCTGACCGAAATCACCTTTTCGTCTTGGGAAGGGCAAACGCGTCCACTGGGGCGAGATGGGCTATGGCTCTGGCTACTACGATGATGGCTCCTACGTCATGGTCTTGCCGGCCTACAAGGGAAAGAAGGGCAAAGGTAAGGGCAAATCGGCATACTGGATGCCAGAAGATGGAACTGCCTACGCCTTCACCAGCAAGGGCTTTGGCAAGGGAAAGCACTCCAAGAGCCGTCAGAAAGTCAATGCCTACGCCATGGACGCCTACGACTACAATGGGATTGAATTTGAAGCTCAAGCTGCTCAACAAGGACAACCTGACCAACCGAAGACCAACCGAAGACCCCGGTCATTCAGCCAACGGCTGCACATGGGATGATGGACTGTGGAGCTCCTTGTTCCGCTGGACCTGAACGATCCATCCAGAACTTGGTGACCGCCATCTTAGCCAAGGACAACTCTGCTCGAGTCACCGTGAACGGCAAAAACAGACCGCGCTTCAGGTATGGGTCAGGTAAGTGGGAGAAAGCAGTTTTTCAACTTCAAATTCAATCTAGTGTCACTGGTCGTACTCTCAACGCCTTTGCACTCCCAAATCCCGAAGAAGTAAATGAAGAATGGTTTCAAGACCACATGCTTGTCCCTGTGCTGGTGGGCATGGATTTTTTGAGAGGAAACGGTATGATCGTTGATTTTTCGGATGGTCTCAGTGTTTGCACTGCACATGAGGGAGCACAACCTTTTCATTTACCCATGAACCACAAAGAGCACTACATGATTGACTTCGCTGAGTTTCTGGTAGATGGGAAGGAAGACTTGCAGGGTCATCCGGAGATCAACATCATTTTTTATGAAGAATTTCAAGAAGCTGTCGAACAACAACAGTTTTTGGACATGTTTCCTTTGACTTTTGATTTGGCCACTTTGCCAATGCAGTCTACCAAGTCTGAACGACAATTGGAGTTTTTCACTTCGTTTTGGAAGAGGCATCAATCTGTGTCGTCGCTGCAGCACACAAGGCTCATGGGCAATTTGTCAACAAGTGCTTCAGCACGCCCCAGTACCTCTCCAATTGCTGTCGATGGCTCCGAAGTCGTCGAAGACCGCAGTGGAGAAACCATGGGATTGGGGCCGAGCTGTTCCAATGGACCCTTGCGATCCGAGGAGTCAGAAGAGTCAGTGGCCATGCATGGGAAACCAATGAAGTGGCACAGCAACAAATGGGCTCAGTGGCGCCATTGCGGAGTTTGTGCACTACGCCTGGACTACGTCGACGTACCCAGTTTGGGCTCTCCAGCGAACTCAACAAGTCAGCCCAATCCGGGCACTGTGGCGCAAGCCTTGGCGGAGCTCAAGAACATGATGGACCCATTGCCTCCAACCGAAAGCATGGTGCGCGTGATGATCGACAAGGTCACTGCGGAGCACCGCCTCTCTGTCATGATGGACCAGCACAAGATGGAGATGGAGAACGATGGGAAAGGTCAACGTGGCCAAGCTGATGTTCCAAAAGGGGCACTCAAAGGGAAACAAGGGGTATTCGAAGCCCGAAGCCTCAGAAGGACCTCGAGTCGCACCTTCCAAGAGTTTGCCTCTGGATTGGTCAGTCGGCCGTGAACCTCATACAACATGTTCAAGAAGGACTTCGAGGAGCTTTAGCAACCTTGGCCTATGGCAATGAACCTTGCGTCTGGGAGATGTTTTGCTCTCCAGACTCTGGCTTGACCAAAAGGTGTCTTCGAGAAGGACTCAACTCAATTCGAATTGGTCTGTCATCGGGTTTTGATCTCTACAAGAAGGAGGCCTACGAAGTTCTGAAGAATGTCTTCAAGAAGCAACGTCCACGCAAGATTTGGATTAGCCCTATGTGCACCTTGTTTTGCGACTGGACCAACTTGAACTATTATTGGTACCGCCCTGAGGAGCTCAACAAGAAGCGGAGGAGAGAACGGCAAATGCTTCGCCGTTTGGTGGCTTTGTTGCTTTGGGTTTCTTACATGGATCCAACAGTTCAACTCTACTGGGAATGGCCTCGACGCTGCCGAGGATGGAAAGAACCAATCGTCTCCAACTTCTTTGAACAACAACTACCCGAACTTGGCCATGAAGTTTGGGATTGTCGCTTGGATGGATGCCGCTACAACCTCAAGAACGACGATGGCATGTTCATCCCCAAGGAGTGGACAATCAAAACAACTGACTTGGACTTGTATGGAAACTTCCGTTTGAAGCCCTGCACCAAGAACCACGAGCATGCTTGGATACAAGGTGAGCTGACCAACAAAACAGCATACTACCCAACCAACATGTGCCGATCGATTGCGAGATTTTGGTCTCAGCATTTGATCCCTCAACGACCCCCGGTCGTACCGCTCAAAAGGGTCCAGTCCTGGAAAAAAATGCCTTAAATCGTTTGGTCCACAACCTTTTGGAATTGATTTCCAAAGGGTACAACCCAACAGATTTAAGCCAACAACCAAGTTGCAATTTCCCGGGCAAACAAATTAAAATCCTGTTCCACAACCTTTATGTGGACTAACATGTCTCCTGGCCCACCATTGCTCTGACACAACTCTTTTCCTGGGTCATAACCTTTATGATGACATGTGTACCTACCCCATTCAGATCGTCAAGTCGATTGAATTGGAAGATCACGACCTTTCAAAAACTGCTGAGGGTTTGGCATAAACACTTTTCTTGTCATATAATTCAAATCCTGGGTCACAGGGTTTCCACCGGCTCCATCATTTTTTTGCTCGCATGCTGTCAAGATCTTTCAAGACGGGGAGATGGATGACACTAGGCTTTGGAGGTCCAGAACTGTTTCTCTCTCTCTCTCTGTTGGAAATGACCAGAAATGATGTGTCCTCTCTACATGATTGTTGATCCCCGTCGGTACAAAAACGTGGGGTACAGTCCTAGAAAAA